TTTAATCGTTATTTGATTAAGTCTATTGTAAATAACATGAAAGAATTTGAGAATTGCATATGAAAAAAATCATATTTAAATCAAAAATAATATATAAATTTTTAAATCTACTCAAAAGTTCAGCATTATGCTTAAAAAAGAGAATTTTTCCAATAATCTTTGAGCTTAATCATGTACGTTAGAGAGTAATCAGGTTTCCTGCATCTGAGAAAGGTCTCTCACATAGGATGGAAGTTGCTGGTACGCATAAATATTTATGTGCTAACAATGACAAAATTAGAAACTCAGTTTTATTATTATTCCACCAGTTCCAAAGATTGACATTATAATTATTAATAGGGGTAATCTTCAGATATCGTGCCATCTCATCCAAAGGTATATCTTCTTGACCCTATATTCCAAAAATACCTTCAAAAAATGAATTTTGCATTATTTCAGTAACTGTTGACGATGTTTGTTACACTGGTTAATCATTGCTAGTATTATTAATACATTGTAAATTCTCAAATTCATTCCTTAATTTTGTTTCAGCCTTTTCTCATTCTCTGTTTGTAAATGCAGACATTCTTTTGGTCTGGGAGTCTAAAAGGGTAGCTACCAATTCAACTTCATGAAAATCATACCAATATTTATTCAAAGAGTCATAAATAGCAATTTTAAATTGCTTTTCTATTTGATCAAGATCAGATAGTGGTAAAGGGGCTTGTGAATGAGTGTCGTCATCATTTTCTAAATCTAATAACATGTCTAGTTTAATTAGCAGATTTTTAAAATGAGTTGTTAACATCACATAACATGATAATTAATATTTAAAAATCTACTACTGCAGTGGTTAATAATTATAATAATTACTAATCATTAGCAAACTTTAAATATTAATTGTTACATTAGTAAAGTAAAATCGATAAAACCAACAAAACTTACCATCCTCATTGTCGCTATCTTCATCATTATTACTTAATTCTAAACTCATATCTATAAATTTATTTTGTAATTCACGAATGATAGGATACATTAGCGAAAGAGTGAGATACTTGCTTCCTGAAAAGAATTTAGTTGCATGCTCAAATGGTTTTAATGCATTTACAATTCTTTTTAACAAATCCCACTCATAATCTTTTAATAGTAACTGAGACAATTTTTGACTATCTCTTTTATTTTCTTTTTCTTTCTTTAAGAGCAACACGGATACTAACTATGTTATTGCATCTTTTAATTCTAAGAGTCTTGTCTATGAATAGTAACTAAAGTTCCATCTAGTACAAATATCGGTGATATTACGCAATACTTTTATTGTAGATTCATCAATTTCTTTATCTTCATCCTCTTCTTCTGAACTAATTTTTTTATCTATATCAAGAGCTGATAACGGATTAAATCAAACAATTTCAACATCCTCTTCTCGAATATTATTTTGTTGTGCAAGATCTATTTGTGCCTCATCAAGCTGCTCGGATTGTTTAACTGATTCTGTAAAAAATTTTACTAATTCTTTGAATCTTTTTACATAAGAACCAATTTTTTTAAACACTTCGTCACTGATAATTGAAGAGTATGAGTGGAACAGGGTAACCATTTAATATCTTCCCACATAGTAAAAGCTTTTTTCATATTGGAACCATTATCGGTGACTCCTAAAAATAATTTTTTATTTAAACCAAATTCACCTATTTTATTATCAATATAATCATATATTTTCTCAGCTGTATAAAGATACCGCATACGTTCAATAGTAAGAAGCACATCAATAATTTTAAAATCAGGTGTGAGCCAATGAACCATAATGCCGATATATCCAAATTTGGATCTGGCAGTTTAGAGATCTGTAGTAATAGTAGCATATTCACATGTTTTATTAATTTTTGTCTTAAGTTGGGTTATTCCATCTTGATAAGCAGCTGCTATAAAATTTTTACACCCTTTATTAGATGGTGGTTTAAACCGTAAATCAATTTTTTTTATAAATCACTAAAAAATCCTTCTCCACAAAGTGTATTAAAGGATAAAGAATCCATAATGATCAACTCTGTACATGCTGCTTGTAGTTCATTTTGTTTATTCAGGCCATGCGGTTTTACATTATCTAGAATTTGTTCAAGTATAACTTGTTCTTTTTTCTCTGCCTATTAAAATTTTGCAAAAAACGTAAAATTTTTTAATAAACATCTGAAAAAATCTACCCAGATAATCAATATAGTCAAAAAAATTTTTTCAAAATTTGATCTGACCAGATTATGAAAACCAATTTATTAAATTTGTATGGCCTAATGATAAATTCAATAATACCTTTTTAGCCAGACTTTTAAGAACTATATCATGTTCTTATATTATGTAATAATTCATTGATGTTGTTGAATTTGAATTAGTACAGTCATATTTTTGCTCGCACTTTTTTGTTTTTCCATCTTGAG